ATAAGCCTTGAAGAAGCCAAGAAGAGGGCTGCAATTCATGCTTATGGTGACTGAAATTAAAAGCTACATCCTCAGGCCGATGACTTTAGAAAATATACCTCCTCTGAACAGACAGACTGTGCAAAGCCCTCTTTGGCAGGGCAGAAACTCTACAACTGATGGTGGTAAATGGCAAGCAACTTTTCCAAACTCCCTGGGCTAGCAGTGAAGAAGCAGGGATTTGAACCCAGGCCTTTCAGACTCCAAATTCCATGCTTCCTCCACTACCACCCATTGACTCTAGTTTTGGTGGATATTTGAAAGTGAAAAAGTTCAACCTGTCATCTCCCCCTAAGCCCGGATCTAAGCCACATTTGTAAGATGCAGGCACAGCCGCTGTGATATTTTTATCTGAAATATTTACAGGTGGAAAGGATTAAAGCAAGTGATGGACTATTGAAGGTTAATGCCATCTTTTAATACGGAAAAACTACTCTCTCCACAAGAAATATACTTGTGGGATAATCTTGAGATATGTGTGTGCGTGCTCAAAATGTCAGCTAGAGTTTCATTAATTTCAGCCTCCCCCAAGAACACTATGTTATGGTTCTGAGGCTGCGTGTTAGCGTGCTGACACAGGTGGGACCCACAGCACCCGGCTCTCAGGGGTAAATTTATGGTACGATGTGTGAGGAATCCATCATGCAATTTGGCCCATGCCCCCAGCTGCTTAACCAGAGATGGGGGATGTAAGACAAATGTTATCTCCAGGCTTTGGGTGCTGTGTCTGTTTCAAACTTTGACCCATCAGGACAAACACTCCCACTAGGAAGGCCAATTAATAAGATGGCTTAACACCCAGCCTCTCAGAACACGGAGTACTTTGCCCTCAGCTTCTCCTGGGCTGTTCTTCAACAATTCTCTAGGCTAAAAGATCGTGTCCTAGAGTTTTTAGGAAAGCATAGGCCTTTGTGAGGTGTCTAAAGCATAACCTCATTTACTCTGGACGAGTTGTGAAGATCATGCTTACAAGAGGACCTGAGCCAGTGTCTAAAGGTAATGGGTCCAGCAATCCCATCACGGGTATCTACTTTACAAGCCCATTTGAAGGGCTGATCTTCCTCCCAGCAGAACAGAGATTAAGAGGCAGCCTCAAGGGGCAGCTGGCCTTCACTTCCTCTCCCAACTCCTCCAGTTGTAAGTTGAGTAACTTGTGAGAATACACAAGTCTTACTTTCTTCATCTGTACCATGGGGCAACAGTAGAAATTCCTACTTTGCAGCATGATTGGAAAGACTAGAGACCCTGCATGGACAGTACCCAGCAAAGTACTTGGCCCTCAGTAAAACATTGCTGGGTTGTGTCCTAGGTTTGGCGGTGTTCCTTTCTATGGTTTTGCTTCTGCATAATGTCCTGGCTAAAAGGACCCGCTTCGGGGCAGCTGGACTAAGGTTAGAGTTTCTACTGTACCTCTTTCCAGCTGTGCAATCTTGGATGAATTATTTAATCTCATGAAGCATCACTTTCCTCATCAGTAAGATAGACATAAAAATAGTTCTTCCTTTGGAGAGCTAGGGTTAAGATTGGATGGGCAGTTGTATGTAAAATGCTTATGTTACATTGCTTGGCATAACCAGGCACCTAGTAAAGGTTATAAATATTAGATAAGATATGTACTTTGGAATCTGTGAAGGCTTTGGCTACATGGAAAGGTGATATTTCTGCCCCTTATCCACAATACAGTTGACCTTTGAACAGCATGGGTTTGAACTGTGTTGATCCACTTATAAGTGGATTTTCTTCTGCCTCTGCCACCCATGAGACAGCAAAACCAACGTCCTCCTCCTCCTCCTCCTCCTCCTCCTCAGCCTACTCAACCTAAGATGAGGGGGATGAAGACCTTTATGATGATCCACTTCCACTTAATAAACAGTAAATATATTTTTTCTTCCTTATGCTTTTCTTAACACTTCCTTTTTCTCTAGCTTACTTTATTGTAAGAATATAGTATATGATACACATAACATATAAAATATGTGTTAATTGACTGTTTATGTTATTGATAAAGCTTCCAGTCATTAGTAGGCGATTAGAAGCTAAGTTTTGGGGCAGTCAAAAGTAACATGTGAATTTTCGGTTGTGCGGGGGGTTGGCATTGCTAACCTCTGTGTTGTTCAAGGGTCGACTGTATATCAAAGAAATGTGGAAAGCCTCACCAGCCTCAGGAACTTGGATCTGTAAATTCTGACTTTGTACCAAGTGCAAACCCTACTTGCACTTACTGGGAAAATAACTTGCTAGGGTGCAGAGGTATTTTAAAAACCATCCACTGCAGCTCAGCTCCTCCTTCTGAAACAAATACACGGGCCCAATGAACCCAAGTCAGAGTTGCTACTTTTGGAGCGACTACACTGTGTGGCGTGCAGAGCCGGATGCTGGGTAAGCGCTCAGTCTAATAGCCTCAGAAGGCTACTTTTATTATTCATGTCTATGCTGGAGGAGCCCAGGGCTCAGAGGAGATAAGTAACCAGAGCTCAGAAGTGAGAGAGCTGGGACTCGAACCCTCTCACTCTAAACTCCATGGTAATCACCTTGTCAGCTGTCCTGAGGCATTCAGCAAGACAGGTGTTCGTGTCTTTCTTTTGTAGAGAAGAAAACTGAGGCTCAGAGAGGTCAAGTAACCCACACATGCCCACACAGCTTAGACCTGCTCCTTGCCCAGAACCTGGGTGACTTCTCCTGTAACCCACTCACGGATGCGTGTGCGTGCTAGTGGAGAGTGATTCTTATCTGGGTCCCTTAAAGAAGGGACATTTTCCCATGATTGTTTTCCTGCTGGCAGCCCTTGTCATCTTCAGAGGAGACCCAGAGACCGTGGGCAGGGTGCTGATTCCCCGCAGTCAGCCACAAAGGGCAGAGTTCCCTGTGATGCTGAGAGAGCGAGCCTGTGTCTGCGAGTACATATTTCTCACTATAAAGCAAACAGCCCGACTGGCAGAGCACTGTAGGGAAAATGACATCACTGCAGAATTTTAGGGCTAATCATTTAGCTGGATTAGCCCCAAAGTGCTGTGTCTAAAATCAGCATCCCTGCCTCTTTATGTACTCCAGATGAAACACATTAGCAGAAATATGGCAAGGGACACTCACAATACACGGTTCTACACTCTCAGCAGTTTTTGCAAATCTGCAATTAGTCTAAAGGGCCTGGGTAAATTAGGCCTCTTGATAAATGAAGCACCTAGACAGGCCTCAGATTTATTGGATCCCACTGTCCCGCTGTCCAGAGCCCTTGTCAGCTCCACTGCAGAGCGGGGACTGTACAGGGAAAGAAAACGGAGCCAATTCAGGCTCGGAATTGCCCCCAAGTCTTTGAAAAGACTGTGTTTGAGACTGCTGCCTCGGTGGCCTTAAAAGTTTCTGCCAGGAACATAATAGGTGAAATAGGAAGCCTCTGCCAGGAAGTTTGTGAGGGGATAGAAGAGGCCTGTTACACACTGCAGGCAGAAGGAGAGATGGGGGAAGGATTTTCGTTATAGGCAGGAGGGAGGGGGCCACCAAGAGGCCTGCATGTGTTGGCAATTCTTTGCCCCACCCCACCCTGGGCCTCTCCGGCCTCCTCAAGTCAGAGATTAGCAGTGGACATCGACGGGTACCAGTGGGAACCACCAGCCTCTCTCCCAGCACTCCAGGTCTGGGCTCTGGTTGTTAGTTAACACACTCCTTTCCCAAATGCAATTTTCCACATGCTTCAGGTATGAATAATAAATGACCTGGTATTTTGACTACACAGAAAGGTTACACAGATTCTAGAAAAGCACCCTCACCTCCAAAGTTGGGGGGTGAGTGTTTGTAATGCCTTAAAGCAAGCATCCAGGGACCAGAAGGCTGTGAGTGGTTGTGGCTTAGGTACATGGGACATATGGGAAGGGGGTAGTATGGGCCTGTTGTTCTGATTTATGTCTCTGAATCCTGCGAAGCGGTTCGCAGCCATATTGGGGTGACACCTGCTAACTTTGCCGCTGGTGCCGCCGCCGTGGCTGCTGTGAGTGCTGAAGTCAGCTGAACCAGGCCAGTAAGGGGCCAGCAGATGCGCAGATGTTTTTGGGGTGGCGAGAGTTATTTTGTATTAAGTCTATCTTATTTATGTATTTTTGCAACATTTTCTTTGCTGATTACTAAAGTGATTGCTGTTTGGGGGTGGTGGGGACATGGTCTGAATTTTTAATTTAAAAAGTAGTAAAGGACAATTTGTAGTAGGAGACAATTTGAAACAGAGGTCCCTGTTTGTGTGTGTGTGTGTGTCTGTCTGTCTGTCTGTCTATTTCTGGCTCCCTCCCTATCTCTTTCTGTGTCTTACAATCTCAGGTCCTCCGTCCGTCTTCCTTCTTCTGTGTGTATCTCTCTGTTCTCAGTAACCCAGCAGAGCATGTTGTGGTCCTCTGTACCCCCAGCACTGTCCCCACAACTGAGCCCTTTGCCACTTAACTCTTGGTGGCTTGGGCAGCTGGGTCCACGGGCTCCTTTGAGGTTTGGAGCACCCCAGGGTGTGAGGTTTCCAAGACCACTTTCTCCTGGAGGCTGCGGGAACGGCCTCACGGCCATGCCGCCTTCGGCTGCTGTGATTCAGTGTCTCTGGTCTGCAGATCAGCTGGGCGAGTCTCCTGTCAGCCCACATTGATTTTCCTGTAGATTACATTACCTCCAATCACAGAAGAAATTGTGCTCCTCTCCTGGAGTGTCAGGGCAAAATGAATAGCAAACATTTTCCTGCAGGCAGTTCAGCTCTCCTGTCAAAGGCCACTTGAGCAGGTAGGGCATGGTCCTTGCTCCCGCAACCCCCAGACCTTTTCTCTCCAACTCAGTGGAAAAGTTTCTGGGGTGAGGTGGGGCATCAGATGCAACTTGGAGCGCAAAAGATACCCAATTATGCCTCAGCGAGATCCTTCGGTATCTTAAGACCTTCTAAATTATGGAATTAAGAGAGTTTAGAGGGGGAAAAGAGCGGGTGACACCAGATGTGTTAAGAATTCAGAATGTGCTTTCTCATATATTAAAAAAGACTCTTTGAATATCATCAAAGAGATTGAGCAATTTTTATTCCTTTTAAAAGTACTGATTGGGGATCTCTGGTCTCTGGCTGGTGTATGTGTGTGTGTGTGTGTGTGTCGGGGGGCCGTACCACAAGGGCCTCTCTCCCTACACTTGGTTGGTGCCAGGTCCACTTTCTGAAACCCTGGCACGCAGGGCGAGCCTTGCTTGTGTGGGCAGCTTTGGCACAGAGTCCTGGCACAGTGGATGAAGAGAAGCGTCAGCACTTTTCAAACAACTAACTAGCAGCAGAAGGCGGGCGCCAACCTCCAAAGTGGTCTTTGTGGGAGAGAGGTCTGTGTCTGGGCAAACAACCTGCTTGTAGAGGCTGGAAGAGAAAAAGGCCAAAGACACTTGAAAAGTAAGAGAGAATCTTCTCTGGGGACACTGGGGGCCACATAAACGCACATCCCTGCCCGGTTGAGCATGGGTTTCTGTGTATCCCATGTGTGTGTCATGAGATACTTAGAGCAAGAATTTTCATTGATAACTTAGCCAGTATTTGTTGAGCAACAACCATGGGCCAGACACTGGGTAAATGCTCTACCTATCGTTTACCTCTCTTTTCACTTGTCATCTAAATTGAATCCTCACAGTGGGGAAGGCAGTGTCATCCCTGTCGACGTGATCTGGAAACAGTGCATTAGAGAGTATACGAGATTTGCCAAGGTATTACGGATTGAATTGTGTCCCTGACCCCGAGAAATGTGTTGAAATCCTAGCCTTGCCCACCCGTGAATGTGACGTTATTTGGAAAAAGGGTCTTTGTGGATGATCAAGTTAGGAAGGGGTCATTAGGATGGGTCCTGATCCAATATGACTGATAGAAAAACCAGGGAGATTTGGACACAGAGGGAAGACCATGTGAAGACTCAGGGAGAAGAGGAAGGACAGGCAACTGTAAGCTGAGGAATGCCAGTGATTGCTAGGAGGGAGGCCTAGATGAGATCCTTCCCTTACAGTCCTCAGAGAGAGCCAACCCTACCAACACCCTGATAGCAGACATCTAGCTTCCAGAACCATGAGACAGTGTATGTTTGTTGTTGAAGCCACCTAGCCCGTGGTACTTTATACGGGAGCCCCAGGATGTAACTACACAAGCTCACCCAGCTTGTGGGTGGTGCAGCTGGTGTGTATGTACCCAGGCGCTGCCTGTCCCCGCAGTTATGCAGTGTAGCCTGCACACTGCTGGTTTCCTGGATGAGTGCCCAGTGAGCGCCTGGATGTGCTCCTGCAGGCCTTGGATGTTCAGGAGTTGGTATGTTGGGATGGTTTGGGGCAGAGGCCAAAGGGAGACTTTATGATGAATCTAGCGTCTTATATATACTTTTGCTTACAGGTCTAGAAATCTGCCAATTTTATCATTTATATAAAGAACCTTAAAATGTGTATATCTTTTGACCTATTGCTAAAAATCTATTAAAATAATGATAAACATGGTGACACATTTCTGTAGAATTATATATCATAGTACCATTTATGGAAGAGGTAGGAATATCCCACATCCCAGGACTGCATGAAATGCCACGTTTCTATATTTTCTAAAGTGAAATGAAATCTGATAGAAGTCGATACCAGTCAAGGGTGGTGAGAACAGCTCTGAATTCCTTCACCCCAGCTGGGTCGGCAGAACCTCTCTAGCCATAGTGTGTGGTATCAGCCACAGACAGCCATGTAGCGGTGCCCACCTGAGGTCACCCAGAGCATCGGGCTCAGATAGGGCTGTATCTCCACCACAGGTCACATTTCAAGTCTTATTTCTTTTCCCAGTCCTGGGGAGTCATGCAGCCAGGGAGGAGCCCATCTGTTGAACGTCTGCAGCCCACATCCTTAATCCTCTTCCTTGGACGATGTAGTTTACAGGTGTCAAGGGCCTCTGTCTTTGAAACACAAAGCCGTTTCTCAAAGCCCTCTCACAAAGTACCACAGTCTCCTTTAAATAAGCAAAATAACCTTTCAGAAGTACATTTTCTCTCTCTCTGTCAGGGTTATGGCACAGCAGTTGTTGAGAAAGATGTTTCATCTTTCTCTCCTGTGACCGCAGGAGTCAAAACAAACACAAATAACAAAACAACACAACTTCCAAATAACAAATACCTAATACAAATATTGGCTACATTTAAACGCCAAATCATTCAGACTCATTACATTGATTATAATCCAAATACATACATTAGACATAGACATTAAATTTTTAGTTAACATTAATAGGAGACAAAGTTCAAGTTGTAATGTGAAGTGAAAAAATACAACGTTATATTATTTTCTATTGCTGCATAACAAATCGTAAGTTTAGCCACTTACAGCAATACGCATTTACTATCTCATGGTTCTGTAGGTTAAAAACCCCAGCAGTCTTGTTTGGGTTTTCTGCCCACGGTCTCATAAGACCAAAATTAAGGTGTTGGTCAGGCTGTGTTCTCATCTAGAGCTGGGGTCTTCTTTCAAGCTCATTCAGATTTTTGGTAGAATTGAGTTCCTGTGGTTGCAGGCCCAAGGTCCCTATTTTCCTTGCTGAGTGTCAACTGGGGATTGCTCTCAGGTCCTGGAGGCTTCTAGCATTCTTTGCCGTGTTGGGCTCTCTATCTTCAAAGTCACCAAAGGAGACACTTCCTTGTTTTAAGTCCCTCTCATGCTTCATATCTGTCTCCAGGAAAAGCCCAATCTCTGTCAAGACTCACCTGAACAGGCCAGACCAACCCAGGATCATCTCCCACCCTTAAAGTCATGCCATGGAACATAACCAAATCATGGGAGTGATGGCCCAGAATAGTCACAGGTCCCACCTGCCCACATTCAAGGGGGAAGGGATTATATAAAGGCCTGTGGATTCCGGGATCATCTTAGAATTCTGTCTAACACAGATACCAGTCGTATATATGCAGCAAGATCTCAGCCATGTATTGTTTATGAGCTCAGAAGAACACATGTATGATATAAACCTCAATATTAATAAGACTTTTCTGTGGGGTATGATTATGGATAACTTTTATTGTCTTCTTTATACTTTTCTGTATCTTCTAAGCATTGTATAATGAGCACATATTACATTTATGATCAAAGAAAACACCCACATTGTTTAGATAAAGAAATAATTGGGTCTCAAGCTGGGATAGTAATGCACGACTAGCAGGCATTTGCTCTGTAAAATTAAGCGTGTGTAGCTGAATGGTTTGTTCATTCATTTATTCTTTCGTTCATTCATTCACTGGCCCCCTTGGGAAGAAGGTGCAGACAGATTGCATTTTCCTATAGGACCGCATGCTGATGGGGTCCCTCTGTTCAGAATATCTCTAGAATCACTTCATACTTTTCAGCAAAAAAGATTGCAAAAGACAAGTAGCATTTCTATTTGTTATTACTCCCGGGGACAAAATAGCGAAGGAAAATTACTCAGACTGTTTGAGAAATACTTTGCAATTTCTATTTTCTCACCAGTATCCCAATAGCTTGATAATGTTTAGGGTTTGAAATTTCATATTGTCTTCGTGAGCAGAAAATACCAGCTTCTCATAAATAACTGAAATGAAACAACAGAACTCTTGGCTCAAATTCACTTTTCAGCCTGACGCGTCAGAAGGAGCCCAATGCGAAAACTCTCTCCCGAAACAGAAGTGTGACCCAGGGAGACCAGCAGCACAAATGATCCAGAAACCCTTATGGTGGGAACTCCCTCCACTAACAGAACAGAATTGCTCAAGGATGGGGACGACAGCATATGGCAAACTATCAGAGGGACATCGACTGGCCATCTCAGGCCATCCTGTGCCAGTAGCAAGTCTAGGGGCTCAAGTCAAGTGAGAGCATGAAGTGAATGAGGTTGTGCAGAAAAATAGAGCAAGGCTGCCCTGTACCAAAGGGTGATGTTGGCACGATTTGCTTTTGGGTTTCCTTGTCTCCTTCTCTTCCTTCTTCATTCATTCCCCTTCCCTTCACTGGTGCCCAATCCTGCCCTGGTGCCGGCTTCCATCTCCCGTCCATTTTCAGTTAATGAATATCATTAATGGGTTTTTTTTTTTTTAAATGTGGATACTCTCAGAAGTATTTGCATTTTAATAAGGGATTGTAAAAAGTGAAAAGGCCTTGAAGATAGCAAAGAATAGTTTGCTAATAGTGGAAGGACCAGTAAGGAGGTTACTTTTGCTTGGGGCCCCTGCCCAATGCCTGCCTCCAAAGTCATCTTCCAAATACTTTTTTTTATACAGTGTTGACCTGTTTCAGGAACGGGCTGCAGGGATTCTATTCTGTCAGCATTAAATGGGCGTTGACAGCTGGAAGAAAGGCATCAACATATACAGGAAACAGCATTCTTGAAATGAGAACTAAAGTATCTGCTGTGCGTCTTCCATGCCATGTCATGGGGGGAATCAAATGAGGTCATGTATGTGACAGAGTCTCATAAGAGACTCAGAAATGAACACATGCAGAGTAGTATTAGGATACGTGGCTTGTATGGTTGTCCCCAGCACAGTCAGAGAACAAAAGCCTAGGTGCAAAGATGATCTGACTTTTGACATGGTCGCCTGCCTTAGAAACTGACACTATTTCATTAGGCCTTTTCTGCAGGTAGTCACTGTATGTAAATGTCATGAGCGACTCCACTGAGATGGGGAGCATTTGTCCCTTGAGTGTTGTTCTGGGTTCCAGAGACTCACCCCGTACTATGCCTCAGTTTCTCATTTGGTAGACCTGAAGATGAAAATAAGTGTTGGTCTTCCCTCAGCAGAAACAAGAAAAGTGAATGGGCAGCTGGGGTGAAGCTCTTTGAGGGCTCCCTGAAGAAGGGGGAAGAAGCTCTTCTTCCCGAGATGAGGTATATCTGGGCAAAGGTGAAATCATGTTGATTTTACTTTTTTTTTAAACTTATCAATTATTCTCTAAATATAAACTTACAAACTATGAAGCATGAGAAATAAATGAAGAGCCATGAAACTTCCACCCTATTAATGATAAATAACACTGTCACCCTCCACTCCATCCCAGGGTCTCTTCCTCACGCTTGGCCCTTTCCTTCCCATCATCGGAATACATGGCAAGGAACTACTATCTGAATGGTGTTTTTATTTTTTAAAACAATATTCTTTATTCCTATTTTGTAGCATAGTTTGATCACATATCCACTAACCATATATCACTTAGTCTTGCTTATCTTTTAAACTCCATATAAATGCCATCACCAGGTATGTATTCTTTTGGGACTTGCTCTTTTTAGTCAATGCTATGTGTTTGTGATTTGATAGTTTTTATGCCTCTAGGTTTGGTTCATTCATTCTCATTCCATTGTATTCCATTTATGAATATACCAGAAATCAGTCGTCTCTCCTCTTCTTGATAGTGCAGTTTTAGTCTTTGCATTTATTT